GTGTTAACTAATGTCACATTTTTTGAGTCTCGTCTTGACTTTACCTCTTCTGACCATATTGATAAATTTGAGGTCTTACCTATACCAACTTTTGAGGAGTCTACTATTGCTCCTCCTATATCCCGAGCCACGGAAGTCTTACCCATATCAATTTTTAAGGAGTCTACCATTCCTCCTCCTGCATTCCCAACTGTAGGAACACCACTCTTAAGTTATCGTCGTCATCTGCATCCAGCATCGGGCTCCGCTGATTCACATCCTGCACCTGACCTTGCTCCTACTGCAGACTTGTCTCCTCCTAGTCCACCGATTGCACTTCGAAAAGGTATACGATCCACACTTAATCCTAATTCATATTATGTCGATCTCAGTTATCACAGTTTGTCATCACTCCATTACGCGTTTGTATCACCTTTGTCCTTTATTTCCATCCCTAAGCCTACATATGAAGCACTATCTCATCCAGAATGGCGACAAGCTATAATTAACGAGATATCTGCTTTACATGCGAGTGGTATTTGGGAGCTTGTTCCTCTTCCCTCAGGTAAATCTATTGTTGGATGTTGTTGGGTTTACGCAGTCAAAGTTGGTCCAAATGCCCAGGTTGATCGACTTAAGGCCTGCCTTGTTGCCAAAGGGTATACCCAAATATTTGGGCTAGAGTACAGTGATACTTTATCTCCTGTGACTAAAATAGCACCAAACCGACTTTTTTTATCCATGGTTGTTATTTGCCATTGGCCTCTCTATCAGTTGGACATTAAGAATGCTTTTCTTCTCGGTGACCTTGAGGATGAAGTTTATATGGAGCAACCACCTGGTATTGTTGCTCAGGTGAGTCTAGTGGTCTTGTATGTCGGTTGCGCCGGACACTCTATGGTCTAAGGAAGTCTCCTCGAGCAAGGTTTAGTAAGTTCAACACAATTATTCAGGAGTTTGGCAAGACTCGTAGCGAAGCTGCTCACTTTGTATTTTATCGGTATTCTACTTCAAATCTCTGTATTTATTTAGTGGTTTATGGTGACGATATTGTTATTACCAACAATGATCAGGATGTTATTACTAAGTTGAAGCAACATCTCTTTCAGCACTTTCAAATTTTACGATTTGGCAGCTTAATGTATTTTCTAGGTAGTGAGGTCACTCATTCTAGGTCAAGTATTGTGATCTCACAATGAAAGTATACCTTAGACATTCTTGAGGAGACATGAATGATAGGCTGTAGACTGGTTGACACTCTTATGGATTCGTCTTCTAAACTTCTGCTAGGACAGGGGAGCCAGCGATTCTGCCAAGATATAGGCGGCTGGTTGGTAAGTTAAATTACCTCACAGTGACTAGACCTGACATTTCCTTTCTTGTGAGTGATGTGAGCCAGTTTATGGATTCTCCCGGTGATAATCATTGGGATGCAGTTGTCCGCATTCTTCGGTATATAAAATCAGCCTCAGGCAAAGGATTATTGTTCGAGGATCGAGGGCATGAGCAGATCGTTGGACACTCTGATGTTGATTGGGCAGGATCACCTTCTGATAGACATTCTAAGTCCGGGTATTGTGTTTTAGTAGGAAATAATTTGGTGTCTTGGAAAAGCAAAAAACATAATGTGGTTGCTTGGTCTAGTGCAGAAGCAGAATATTGAGCAATGGCTATGGCAACATGTGAGCTCGTTTGGATCAAACAGTTGCTCAAGGAGTTGAAATTTGGTGAGATAAGCCAGATGGAACTTGTGTGTGGTATCAAGTTGCCCTTCATATTGCATCAAATCCGGTGTTCCACGAAAGAACTAAACACATTGAGATTGACTGTCACTTCGTCAAAGAAAAGATACTCTCAGGAGATATTGCTACACAGTTTGTGAAGTCAAATGATTAGCTTGCAGATATTTTCACCAAGTCTCTCACTGGTCCTCGTATTAGTTACATATGTAACAAGCTCGGTACATATGATTTGTATGCACCGGCTTGAGGGGGAGTGTTAGATAATTATGTAAATAATCCTAGTCCCACATGGAATAGGAGAAGAATATGTATTGTGTATAGTTATAAATAGGGCTCATTGTATTATAGTTAAACCAATAATATTCTTTTCCCGTGCTAATTCTCACAGTATGCTCATAATAAAGCAGCACTCTAATTCAAAACCAGATCAACAGTTTAGCAATAGTAAAGCTAGAACATGAAGTTGAACAAAGCAACAAGATAATTTCAAAAGAAGTTTCACTTAATGCAAGCCTTCATAAAGAGCATTAAAGGGCTAAAAGTAGGTGCAAGAAGTTGCTTTTTAGTAAGACTGAACAAACTTCCTATTACTAGTCCAGCTTACTTTCACTCTATCAAACATTCAATAGTCAACATAGCCTAAACGGAAGTAATCTCAACTAAAGATCATTTGTGGTTTCAAAAAGTGATGAAAGTCTTACCCCAATGCTTCGAATGGTCCATAAACTCACGGCCATCAGAAGCCCTACTCCACTTTTGTTGAATGCAAGAGACTCTTCAAATATGATGCCCATATATCCTAATCCAAACAGCAACGCCATGGCAATATCCTGAAGCATGACAATTGATCAGCCAAATGAAATTTTGGTAGGATAATTCATTAGTATGCCTTTAAATAAGATAATCACGCTCCTGTTAAAACACCTGATTTGCAGCCACCCATGATTGATTTATTGCTACTGTACCAGTGACGGCCGCGGCAAGAATTGCAAAGGCCTTCAGTAAATCTGTCTTTGGCTGGTAAGTAGCTTCAAATTCTTGTGAGCTCATTTCATCAACTGAACATAAAGGATCACATGTTCCTGATGAAGTTGTTAGTTCCTGAAGCAAACCTAACTCTTAGTAAAGTGAAAGTACAAGCCACTGCACTTTTCTTTAGTTGTCTTTTGTCTTCTTTTGCTATAATAATTAGAGATGGAACTACTATTCACACCACTAACTGATGGATAAATGCAAATATACTGTTAGAAGAACAAAGTGCAGTTACAGGCCGTCCATCTATATTATGGAAGTAAACCTGAGACAACCTACTCTCACAGTGAAGCTTAATGGCTATTAAAGTTCATGAAATGCATGAGGTCCTGTCCACAAGTAGTTTACTGTTATTATATATATATNCATCAAATGCATAAGGTCCTGAGACCTAAAGTTCTATTATGCTAGTAATATACTAATCCATTCTCTAAATTACAAGCAGTTGTGGAAACTATAATCAAGTTATTGACTAAGAAAGGAGAAATATATGATAAGGAATTAGGCTACATACTTAAAATTAGAAAAATACATAACTCGATGAGATGGAGACTAACACATGTATGACATTTCAATAATCAGATAAGAAAAGCAAAAAGGAGCTTGCATTCCTAACTTAGCATAATATTAACCCTTGTAAAATCCATCTGGTTCCAAAGAAACCATCAGAGTATTTCCAAGAATCTAGCCACTGTGAAACAACTGCCTCATTATCAACAACAATCCATCAGAAAATCAATTAAACCTCAATCTCGATCTAGTTGGAATCAACTGTATGATTCATCTGGAATCATTTCCCCAATTCAACCCAACTTCATCACGATACTTGATAAGGATTCTCCAAAATTATGAATCAACTACGTCTTGATCCTGAACTAGTTAAGACTTGGCTATATGAATCAACTACAATCATTCCCCTCCAGTCAATCCCATTTCATCCAATATAAAATAATGGATTCTCCAAGACTAGATATAATGGTTTCCCTACAACCAAAGGCTCTATATACAACTCGACTATGCCTTAATCTCAAACTAGATGGACGTTAATGAGTTAAATGAACCCTCTTTAACTATTTTGCTTTATTCAGCCCCATTTCATTCCAATACTAAATAATGGGTTCTCTAAAACTGGAGGTTCTCTATATGAATCAATTACACCCCAGTCCCAAACTAGTCGGGATTGACTATACGAGTCCTTCGTAAACATTTTGTAATATACATATTCAGCTCCATTTCATTCCAATACTAAATAATGGATTCTCTAAAACTAGAGGTGTTTTGTATGAATCAACTACGCCTTGATTAAACACTAGTTGTAGTCAGATATATGAATTTTCTACAACCGTTCTACTTTATTCAATCTCATTTCATTCCAATACTAAATAACGGGTTAAGACAAGAGGTTCTCTGTACGAACCACCTATGCCTCTATCCACACTGTTTAGGGTCGACTATATGAATTCTCTGTGAATCATTCTGCTCTATTCAACTCCATTTCATTCCAATTCTAAATAATGGGTGCCTTAAAAATTAAATTTTCTCTACATGCATTAATCCTTTATAACCATTCTGCTCTATTCAACCCCATTTCATTCCAACACCAGATATGGTCCTTAAGCATCATTATCCATAAACATAAAGGAAATTTAGAAATTTAATCCAACGAATTCCTCAGTATACAAAATAGTGAACTGATAAAATCAGGCAGCGAACTAAACCTCATTTTCTCTGGCTTGGTCTTCGGCTTTGGCGAGGACGCAATAGCGGTATCTGGGTCCATCACTGAATCTTGAAAAGCTAGTCTGAGGCAAAAGGGATGGAGCAGGAGAGGTTCTAATTGGGGGGTTCTTGAAATGAGTGTGAGAAGGGAAAATACAGTGGCTTTTGATTGGGAGAAACGTAGACATTAGTGGATGCCGGAGAGAAGTGGAGGCTCCGATAATCAGACAACTGCAAACTGCATGTATAAAATTATCCTTAACAATATTCCTTTTTTTTCAGTATCCTTTAACAAAAATTAAAATTACATTAGGGAATTCAATTATTAATGAAACTAGAAAATTACTACTATTGATTCGAGGAGCTTCCGGTTCATGTGATTTTACATAAAAACCATAAAACTCCAGTTTATTCCTGTTTTGCCCATAATAGTCCTTGCCTCAAAAAGGGCTGCGAAATATTTTAAAACCAAACTTGGGCCTCATGCGCCTACGGTAATTAAACACGAGCTACCCCTTTTCTTCCCGGTTTGACGCGTGCATCCTAACCAAAATTTTCCCCGCCCGCATTCTTCTCTGTGGAATCATCTTCATCTTATCACCGCTTCCTCTCTTTTCGTTTGTGACTTTCTCCTCTTTTAGCTATTCTGTACACCTATCCCTTTCATCCAATCCTTACTATAAATTTCTAACTTCTAGATTTGTTCTAATATCCACAACATATCTACAATACTTCTTTACATAGAGCACTGACTTTCTTCGACTTCTCTGCTTCTTACTTAAAAAGGGTAAGTTTTTTATTTGTTTCTTTTTTTCCTTTGATTATCTCACCTGCCTCATGTTTATATTACGTTAAAGTTTATCCTTTTTATTACATGCCATAATTTTACTGATACCCATTGTTCAATTTTTGTCACCCTTCCCCAACTTCCCCAGGCGATTTAATAGACAAATCTGAATGTTTATATTGTTTGTTACTTCGGTGTCTCCTTCCTCTCTATGAAAGAATTACCATTCTGATTGATTGTGCTCATCCAGTAAGTTTCTGTATGCCCGCTCTATGATCCTCTGAAAAGTTCCGTTCCTTCCTCTTATTTGCCAATAAAACTAAATAAGCTCAGATTTCCTGAGCTTTTTTATATTGTAGGTAAAGAAATCTATTTAATGTTACCAAAGTTTGGAGTTTCAAAGGATTATTCTTTTAATTCTTGGATCAAAGTAAAAAATAGAAAAAAGGACAAACAAGATGGGGTTTGGTTGAGAATTGAGTAATAACTCACTCTATATTATATTATTTTAATAAGTATAAAATTTAAGCATTTTGAATTTCGTCTTAAGTAGTGTTGAAACGTATATTTGGAAAAATAGATTAATAAGTCAATACATTAAAAGTTATTAGGTCCAAGTGCGCGCAAAGTGGCCAAACACCATAGCTAGAAGGGGAAAAAAAAGAGGAGAAAATTAAGGGATCACTGGATTATTCTTACCAATAGTTATCTGCTTTTATTTTGTTTCTGCTTTAGACTTCCCAATGGCATGACTTGTGAGGTGGGAAAGAAGAATGATATCATGTATGCTTTATTGGAAGTTTGAAACCAAATTCAACTGTTTTCTTGTTACAAAGATTGGTTTTTGCAGATTCCCTGAGTACTACATGACCCCTCGAGTCTCATAATTTTATTCATTTGTCTACCAAAGCAGAGTCTCTCCATATTTAGCTTATAAGATTATTTTTTTTGTGTATTAGACAGAGAACAATTTATACGCTAAATTCAATTGAATTTAACTTCTACTCTTATTTGTTCGACTTAATTTCCATCTGATTCTGCACTTAATTCTACTGATTTGTAACTTATGTACTTCCTTCTTGTCAATTGAAAAGTTATGACATCCTTAAATTATGACCATTTTCTTTGCTCCGCTTTCTCTTTCTGGCAATTTGTGTATTTTGTACTGAACTTGTTGTAATTTTCACCATCTGAGGCCTTACATTCGCAATATCTCCAAACGTCATTAAGAAACTAGACTTGACAAAGTGGAGGAAAGTAGACATTTTGAATATGCATGTATTTAGTTCAGTCAGATTAAAAGTTCTGCAGCTACATTAAGAACTGACTGTACGAACTGACACATCATAACTCTACGTGTCTCATTTCTACAACTCAATAATGATTACATGCTATCTGAATACTTTCTTGCATTACGTTTGGCAATTCTTAGCTAACCACAACTATTTTATTGAAATTTGTTGTGCTTTGTTAACTTGAGTTTTACAAATGGTAAGTTGTTCGTTAGAGCAGCAGAATAGATTGACATCATTGCTTCCTTTAGAGATATTTGTGGTGTAAATATTAGATGCTTGATGTTCTATAATGGTATTCTTCATAATCATATGTGTTCATGACGAAATAAATAAAGTGAAATAGTTGTGTCATCTATGGTCAGTATCTCTTGCTATTTTATGGAAAAACTGTATTTCTATTGCTGCATAATGATGTTTAGGACAAATGCAGTACCAATAGTTGCACCAAAATCAGATTAATGGATATTCGACAATCAAAAAAGTGCCCTCGCTCGGTGACGGGAGATCATGTTAAGAATAGCAAACACCATAAAATTGATGATTCTGTAGCAATGACCTTGAAAGAAGAAAAGTTGTCGCCTTTGGCTGGGAAATAGTGAGATAAAGAAAAATTATATTTTTTACTAATAAAAAGACTTGGCACAAGAATATTCTTTTTAAATGTGCTTTCTTACTATGGAGAGCTTTAAGGAATAATATAACCTACATGTTAATCTCTTCTAATAGAGCATCAAAATATGAAGAAACTTAATAATCTTTTATTATCTATTAAGACACGGATTATGTTTGAGACATTCAACATTCTGCCCATACGTGAGTGATATTTTGTTATACTTATTTTATTTGACTATATTCAATTTTGTGACAACTGATGATCATGAGATGCGCTGAAAAAATGAATGGAAACTAATGGAATTAAGCTAGATCCTAATTTATGATTTTACTCTCTTTTGTTGCCTATGTTAGTTAGAGCACATGGTACTTCAATGTTTCCATTAGTTTGTCATTTATGGGATGTTGAAGTTTGATGAAATAAGTGAATGAATGTAACTACACAACCTTCTAGTATTGCGAATAGCTCTATCTATACATTGTTTTACCTCTCTAAATTGCAGCCTAACTGCATTTACTCTGAGTAAATACTGTTATCGTTAGGTATTTTACCTCCCCTTTTGTATTATGAGAGATTAGCGTTGGCAACTACACATACGCTAAAAGTTGTTGAGTAGCCTGGCTATGACCTGTGACATAAGAACACTACATCATCTCTTCCCCTGTATATCTTTCTATTTTTTCCTTTAGTTCTTGATTATTCATTCTCCTGTTGGCATCTAGAGATATTTTATCTATTTTTGTTCTATTTGAATTTGCTGTAAGCTCTCTGAATTTTAGTTGGAGTGTGAGTTGTACAAATATACTTACTTTTGAATATATGAAATCAAATTGCTAAACATAATATATATGTCTCCATATTAGAAATCAATTTCTCAGTTCAATCGGAATCAGGTCACTTTGAAGATTGTTCGGACATAAAGATAGTTGACCAAATAAGTGATGTGGTAAGAATTAATAATTTTGAGAAATTATTTAACTTTTTTCATGGGAATTGATCCTTTGGAAACCTGCAATTGGATTCGCGTCATGGAAATTAGTAGTTCCTTCTATGATTTATTTCTACATGGCCTTTAACTTTATTAGTTGATTCTAATCTTCTAAAATACATATTTGAACTTATAACTTAGTATAAATGTGATCAAAATTTGTTAGTTGTGTCATCTATGGTCAGTGATCACGCCCAACTATGCCTTATAAAAAAGACTAAGCGGTCGTTGCAAATATAATCCGGTTTACAAGTCCGGAGTCGAATCCCACAGAGAACTAAGGCTTAGCTATAATTTTTTAATATTGCTAAGAAATACAAGTCCAAATAATTTTCTAATTATAAAGATTATAATATTTATTTCTAACTAATTAACTAACAACTATTATAAAGGAATAAAATTATCAACTAACAAGGATGAAATTTGAAACAAGATTAAGAAGGTCTAGAGTTATGATTTCCTCAATTGTCGGAATCCTTCCCGCTATGTCTTCTATAATTTCGCCTAAGTATTCTATATCGATCATGAGTACTTTGGCTGTCGTAGCTCTCTCTCTCGAAACTACCAGAATTTACTAGACGTATTCTCTCGAACTACGCTAACTGGCACTAATTTACCGCTCACTACGATCGCACCAAAGTTTCGTTATCTCTAATCCTACCTTTAAACTGTCTGTATCGATCTCTCAACTACATTAAGAGTGGTGTTGTTCAACAACTACCTAAATGTGTACTCTCTCTCGAGCAATATACACACTAAATATGCCAAGTTAATTGAGAGCTCTTCAATTAATAACAATGAAAATATAGTTGAACAAGTAGAGAAAAATCAAAGGCTCAATTATATAAAAACATAACAAGAATTTATCCTACAAAAGATTCTATCAAAACTCTAGATAACAAATTAGCTATTCATAATAGTATGCAAAACTACAATACTAGAATTCATAACCAATAATGAAAATAGGCGGAAGGAAGTGAAAAACTCATAGAAGAAATCTCTCTCCATCGGTTTTTGTTTTGTGAATATCAGTACTTTTACTGAAATCTGCATCTTCTCCTTCAGTTCTCGATTTCTCTCTGCGAATTCTTTCTTGGTCAATAACAATACTTCTGGTGAGATTTTCTCTATTATTGTACTTCCTTTTCTTTTTATTTGCTTTACTTCTTCTTTTGTCAGTGGTATTTGGTTAAAATTTGGATTACAAAGGAGGTAAGCTTCCGCCAATGGGTATGGGTGATCGACTTTGTCATCTTTGCTCTTTGACTTAGAATTGAAATTAGGGATTTCTTTTTTCAAATTTTATTTCTCTCTTTTTTTGGGTTCTATCTGATTATGTTTTTTTAGATACACATCTCAAGGATTGAAACAGTTGTGTAGGACATTTCTATTTGTCTTTAGAGTCTACTCTGAATTGACGCATAATTGGACTAAGTTGAGCTTTTGTTAGTTTACTTAGTTTTTCATGTTCTCTATTTATTTGACAATATGCTTCAAAGAGGGAAAAAGAAAAAGTAGCCATCAACAATAGGGTTCCGCATTTATCTTTATGGTCTCGACACATTGCTTTAAAGAAGGAATGAAAAAGTGGCTATCACTAACAAGGTTTCTGCAACAATCTTTATGTGGGAACCCATTGGAATTTTTCTTTTTGAAATACTCATGTGACAGATTGAAAGAATTTCGTAGGACATTTTCTATTTGTCTTTAGACTATAGTTTGTTGTCCTCTCCTTTTTTTGAAATTTCTATTTTTACCATGTTATCAACAAGTTTATGATTTCTGGAACTGAATTTTGAACTCTATATCTTAAACATATGTACAATAAGCTTTCTATGGATCTTACCGATTATGATGTTTATGTAATAGATTGACTACATCTGGGGATAATCATCTTACCTCAGACAGCTTTACCTGAGTACACAATTTTATCTTCATTAGTTCAACTACATCCTCTCTGTAAATTTTGCAAAATTATTACTTTTCTCTCATTATATATACCAGACTCCAGGTTGTTCATTTTCTATCATTTCTAGAAGCTATCAGACTTTGTTATGTTTGCTATTTTATAACTCGGTCGTAATTGTATTGCTCTTTTAATACCTTTTGGTACTAGGCAACTCTTCTGCGATGTATCTTTGTGCGACTTATGAATTCATCTTTGGAGAATATAGGTAGATGCGTATCAAATTTGATTGAAAGATAAAAATAAAGTCAACTCCTCGGTAATGTGAGTTCCAATGACAGGTGACATCTTTTACTCTGGTAGACAATGCGAAAAACTACTGAAGAGATGTTCGTCTTCGTCACTAATCATATACTTTTCTAGGTAGACTTTTGTTAATATCGCAACTCTTGAATTTATTTGTAAGAACAGAGAAACCCTTGAAAGCGAATATGTGAGCCCCAATCTCCACCGCTAGATTGATTTGGTATTTGGTTACAAGCAGGGGGGATAACCAGCAGTTGTTGTAAGCTTTAACTTCAAATAATTATTAAACCAGTAGCAGGTTTTGAATTTCACTGAATTTTTGGAGATATTGTCATACATGCAACAAACATTTTTTATTATTTGACATATGAAGGGGTTGTGGATGTGGATACCATGGATGATGAATTGCAAATGTTGGCGATGTTAATGTGCTTGACTCAAGCATTTTCCTTGTGAACCATGGCCTCATCATGTCCGTTAAGAAATGGGTGACCACCCAGTTGCAATCCAGTGGAAACTTCATCTTCTCTAGCTCACAGGTAAGTTTTATAGCAATAACAAGGTAGATCATTATGATTAGTTAGTCAGCTTTGAAGTCGTTTTTAACTTTCTTGCATGATCCGTTTTTGATTCTGATGTCCTTCCTTCCTCGAAAAATTGGGAGTCCTTTGGCTGAAAATATTGAGCTTGCAGCACAATGCTTGGGAACATTATCAACATCTGATTAGTACCTGTGAAAACAACTTTCAATTTATATGGCTAACTAATGGCTGAATGGTGCGGAGCGTTACACAACATAAGGATTGTCTAATTGGGTGCTTATAGTATTTTTTTTCTGTTGAAAATTGGTGCAAAACGACATGTTAAAAAATGGTAAAACATTCCAGTTGATATGTTACAGTCAGAATCGGAAGGATAACAATATACCTTTATTTACGTTGGGCCCGGGCAAAGCCCGGGCTACCCCACTAGTATGCCCGAGCTACCCCACTAGTATGTATAATATACTTGAATCTTATGGTCATAAATATATCACGTTGGTTATTGGAGTTAATGAGTTTATTAATTATAGAAAGAATCATTTTTTTTTAAAAAAAAGACTAAAAGTAAAGTAAGACACATTAATTGAAATGGAAGGAGTATTATATTTTTGGAATTTTACATGCTATAGCTAAATAATGAACCCTAGTTATTATAAACCAAAATACTTTTAAAATATTATTATTCATAGCCACTTTTTATATTTTATAGCAACGTACAAATATATATAACTGATTTTTCAACTTTTCCCTCAACCCTCTCTCTCTTCTCCCTCAACTCTCTCCCCTTTTTCCCTCTCTCTTCGCCATCGACAAGTGGATTCCTCCATCTCTGTTATGTACAAGCAAAAATAAACCTCCGTGAGTTTGTGATATTTGAGATCTCAAACCCTATGGTTTAAACTTCCAAGAGAAACGCACTGAATATTTTGTATAACATCTATAATAGAAAATTTGCAGAAGAACCGGTTTGATATTGAGAGAACCGAACCGATCGAGCCGTGGTTTTAGAGGGTTTAGGTCAAAGTTTGAGGCCGATTTAATGAAGGCGTAATCATGAGTGATTCATACTCCCTTCTCTCATCTCCACCGTCAGATCCAGATCTGAAAATCACGAAGTCGCGATGAGTCCATTACTATCAGCGAAAATAATGGAGGAGGAAGATCAGAGGCATCACCAGATCTGGATCTAACAGAGATGTCGGAATCCATGGTTTCTTCTCCTTCTTTGTATCTCACATCAGAGTGTATTCGTCTGACCGGATTTTGGTAGATACAATGTGATAGTGTATTCTCAGGTCTGGCCAGATTTTTGTTCGTCTCAATTTTTAGTTTTGATACAATATATACAGTATTTTGCTTGGGCGGAAGATGCCATCTCCGGTGAATTTTCTTCTCTTCTTTTCTATTGAGTCACATATAATGATACAAATACATTTTATTTTGTACAAGTACACTCAAATTTGAGTGTATTATGCATTTTTCAATGCAAATGCAGTTTTTATTTTTGTATTTTCGCTTGTGTTTATGTATTTCGAAGGTTATTTTTCATGGCAGATTCTTGTATTTTTTGAATTTTTATTGTTTGAATACAACCGAATTAAATACAGTGAATTGAATACAGTGTAAAAGCAGCTATGAATGAATATAGCGAATTCAATACATCTGAATATAACTATTTTTGTGATTTTGTTGTTGTTTACAGTCGATTTGAATACAGTGGAATTGAATACAATGTAAAATAATTAAAAATGAATATATTCTAATTGAATACAATCTATATAGCCGAATTAAATAGAGCGGTATACACCCTATTTCTTGATTTTTTATTGTTTGAATACAACTGAATTCAATACAGTGAAATTAAATACATTATAAAATATATAAGAACGAATACATCCGAATTGACTACGGTGTATATAACCGAATTGAATACAGCGACATACATCATATGGCAAGCAATTAGTAGCTACAGAATATAATTAGCTAAATTATAGCTACGCCCAGTGTAGGCATATAAATTGTATTAAAATTAAATTCATAAAATAATTTTTGACTATATTTTTAATTCAAGATATATTAGTTTAAATTTATTGGACTA